CAGTGCATTGTAGGGCAACACATTTTGAACTGAGATACCTCAAATGGACTAACTTACAGAAAGTGTCCAAAATCTGGAACCCTTATTCCAGTGGAAATGAAATTTGGCAAATTATATAAAATATTTTATGACATAAAATATTATAAATCATTTTATGACATAATAAATGTCATAAAACATTTCCTGTGCTCAGCTCCTGCTGTTTGACAGTGCTTATGCAGTTCACCATGGGCTATTTTCAAGGCAGATACATCTCCAAATATCTTGCTGAACTTTTAGTAATTTTTCAGTATTAGAAGCTCTGTCATTGTTGAAGACATCAAGGAATCTGATAAGGAAATAGCTATAAAATGATGATCAATGGATCACAGGTTGTCTAATTTCTCCTAAAAATTTAAAAGATTGCCCCTCTCCCAGAGAACCTAGTTTTTGGTTTACCCACCCACTCATTCAACAACCACTCTCAGAAATTAAAAAGAAGAGACTTTAAGCCTAGTTTCTTAAAACATATGAACTCAATTTTTGTACTAACCTGAACCTCAGGGTCTAGTGAACACATATTGAATGCAGTGATGTTATCTGATGATACCTAAAGAGAATAGGGGCTGGGGGGAGGAGATACCTGAAGGTTTAGAACATTATTATTTTTTGCTTAAAAAGAATGACCGGTTATTCTGCAAATCTCTGCTGTACTACAAATTAAATCAAGCACAAGGTGATGTGGAGTTGTGAAAATGACAGGACTAAGTAAAGCATAGAGGATGAAGGGGAAGGAGGAGGAAGGGCAGGAGGGGAAGAAGCCAGAAAGAGGTTTTGTCTTAAAAAAGGTTTTTAAAAGCAATATTTCCCGCCAAAATCCAGACACCACTGCCTCTGTGACCACACGGATTCTCACAACCACACAGGCTCCTTCCGGGGATCAAGGGTGTGTGCGCGCCCTGCCTCCCATAGCCCCTCCAGCGGGAGTTGCTCTTGCCCTACCCTTAACCTACAACAGTCGCAACTGTCTCAGGAGCGAGGGAGTGAGGAGTGAGGAAGGAGTATTCCGCCGGAGCTTCGGGTAACTGCCGCAAGGCTTTGCTCCATTCAGGATAACGCAGGCCCGCCTCTCCCGGCCTTCGGGCATCTCCGACAGTGACACCCACGGCCTTTCTCTCTTGTTCCCCTCATTCCCTCTGGAAGAGAACTTGGTATCCTAGCGACCAGTCACGCCAAGCGGCCCCCCCGGGGGGGAAGGGCGTGGCGGGAAGGTGACTGTTCATTGGTCGTCCGAGGCGGACTGGCGGCGACGCCCTCAAGCCCGCAGTGGCTTTGAACAAAACCGAAGAAGCGACCACGTGGTTTGAGTTTTCTTGGGCGCGTTGGTGTTGCCGTCTAGTAAGGGTGAGGGGTTTAGTTTCAGTGCTTGCGGGTGTGTATTAAACGTTATTGATATCAATCGGCACACTATTTATATTGATAGGAATATTGTGATGGGTCTCAATCAACCCAGATGTGGTTTACCTATTCCCCTTTCAGACGAAATAGCGAGTTGAATGAATAAAAATTGGGCGGAGAAAGGGACTCTATAATCGGGTTTCAGCCCCGGCTTTTTAGTTTTTTCCTGGTCTACATAGAAAGAAAACAAATGATGTAGCAAAGTAGGTTATATATATATACATTAAGAGATAAAATACTAGGAAAATTATGATTAAAAATACAAATAAAAATCCCATAGCTCTTTCCCCCCGTTTTTGTTTAACTTCTGAATTTTTCGTGTGTGTGTGTTTGTGTGTGTAAAGTGTGAACAGTCAATACTATCATAAGGGGATTATTTCTTGAAATTCCCAGAATGTCTACTTATAAGAAAATACTCTTCAAACTCTTGTTGCAACTGTTTTATAAAACAGTGGGTCCTTTAATACTTTCTAGGAAAAAATGACGTTTATTTGTAATAATCTTATTTGAACATGATTGGATACAGTATTAATGTGTATATTACATTAAACATTCATTCACCTAAGCATCAAGATCCAAATATATAATCTATTTTAGAGAGTCATTTTTGTAACAATTTGATATAAAATTATCCAGTATAATATCTTGCAGGATAAAACACGTTTTAATGAAACCTTTTTACATATAAATTTTAAAATCCTGTAATAAGTTAATAGGAACTAGCACACGGGAATTTGATGGCCTATTATTCTATCTTGGATTTAGTTAACAGCAATTAATTGGATGTATAAAATTATTATTGGGCTCATACAAAAGTATTTTTTTAAAAAATTAATGACTGCAGTTAAAGCTATCTTTGGGGAATTACTAAGAAGTCTTACTATATAAGAGCTGTGGTGGTGCTATGATTAGAATGCAGTACTTCAGGCTTCTTTTGCAACTGCCAGCTGCCTGCAATTTGGCAGTTCGATTCTCATCAGCTCAAGATTGACTCAGCCTTCCATCCTTCTGAGGTCAGTAAAATGAGGACCCAGATTATTAGGGGCAATATGCTGATTCTGTAAACCGCTTAGGAATGTGAAGTGGTATATAAATCTAAGTGCTATTGCTATATAACAATATGATGTAGTGATTAAGGAGTTGGATTGGGGTGACTCAGGTTCAATTTTGTCCTCAGCTTGGAAACTTTTGCTGCTGCTGTCTGTTGACTCCTGGTGATTGCCGGGACAAGTTTCTGCAGGTTTTCTTGGCAAGATTTTCAGGAGTGGTTTGCTATCACCTCCTTCCTAGCGCCAAGAATCATTAGTTGAGCTCATGCTTCAGATATAATTCATACTCTCCCACTGAGCAGCTCAGTACCCTTAACTGCATCAAAGTACTACAACTTTTAATAAAAAGAGCTAGCCTAACTCAATCAGTTGATTATGTATCAAAAGCAGGGCTATTGTTTCTCCATTGCTTATTTGTACCCTATGATTATCATTAAGTGTTGTACCTTGTTTTTCTTGACGAATGTATCTTTTCCTTTATGTACACTGAGAGCATATGCACCAAAGTCAAATTCCTTGGGTGTTCAATCACACTTGGCCAATAAAGAATTCTATTCTATTCTAATAACCCAGGTTTTCCTTTTCTTCAGCTCTGGCTCTTCATGTAATGCATGATTCAGAGCCAATCACTCGAGTTTCAAGTTTAATAAAATTTGTATGCCGCCCACTCCCATTGGGACTCTGGGTGGCTCACAACAAGACAAAAGAAACATTTAA